TATTTTTCTTTCTTTCTTTCAATTTTCTTTATTTTTTAGAAATTTAGAGTAGAAAATGCTCAAAGCTGAACGTCTTATTCCGAACTTTTCAGTGTTGCTATTTAGATGTTGTAAGAATGTTTCATTCTAATATTTTTTCTTTTTTTTTCTTTTCTTTTTTCATATATTTCTTTAGAAATATTCTCTGTAGTTTTTCTTTCAAAGCTTTCTCCTTATATCCGAACTTTTTTCAGTGTTGCCATTTAGATGTTGTAAGAATATATACATTCTAATATTTTTTTCTTTTTTCTTTAGTTAATTCTTTAATCTTTAGAAATATATAGAATAGAAATTTCAAAGCCGAACGTCCTTATATCCGAACTTTTCAGTGTTGGTATTTTTGTTGTAAGAATTTTCATTCTATTTTTTCTTTCTTTCTTTCATTTCTAAAATTATTTTCTTTTCTTTTCTTTCTTTTCTTTCTTTTTTCATTTTCTTTTTTTTCTTTCTAATTCACATTTTCTTTAGAAATTAGAAAAAATCCTCAAAGCTGAACGTCCTTATATCCGAACTTTTCAGTGTTGGTTTTTTCTGTTGTTTGCTTTCATTCTAATATTTTTCTTTCTTTTTCTTTCTTTTTTAATTCATATTTCTTTAGAAATATATTTTTAGAAATCCTTCTTTCGTCCTTATATTTTCTTTTTCTTTCTTTCTGTTGGTTTTAGATTTTTTTAAGAATTCATCTTTCTTTCTTTATTTCTTTTTTCTTTTTCTTTTCTTTCTTTAATTCATTCTTTAGAAATTCTTTTTTCTTTTTTTCTTTTTCAAATTCTTCTCTGTATCCGAACTTTTCTTTCTTTAGATGTTGTAATCTTTCTTTCTTCTAATTTTTTTCTTTCTTTTCTTGGCATTCATTAATTTTACAAATTCTTTGAAATATATTCTTTCTTTTCGAACGTCCTTATATTTTCCGAACTTTTCAGTTCTTGGTATTTAGATGTTGTACTTTCTGCTACATTCTTTCTTTTTTTCTTTCTTTTTCTTTTCTTTTAATTCATTTAATTTTAGAAATATATAGAGTTTCTCCTCAAGCTGAACGTCCTTATATCCGAACTTTTCAGTGTTGCTTTTTAGATGTTTAAGAATTTTCTCTCTAATATTTTTTTCTTTCTTTTTTCTTTCTTTTCATCTTTCTTTAGAAATATATACAATAGAAATCGCAAAGCTTCTTATATCCGAACTTTTCAGTTTGGTTTTAGATGTTTTCTTGCTTTCTTCTAATATTTTTTTTTCTTTTCTTTCAATTAATTCATTTTCTTTAAAAATATATAATAGAAATTCTTTCTTTCCTTATATCCGAACTTCTCAGTGTTGCCATTTAGATGTTGTAAGAATTGCTACATTTTTTTATTTTTTTTTTTTCTTTCTTTCTTTCTTTTAGAAATTATAGTAGAAACCTTTCTTCTTTTTATTTTCTTTTTTTTTTCTTTTCTTCTTTCAAAGCTTTCTTTCCTTTATTTTTTCAGTGTTGGTATTTAGATGTTGTACTTTCTATGCTACATTCTAATATTTTTTTCTTTCTTTTTTCTTTCTTTTCATATAATCTTTAGAAATATATAGAGTAGAAATCCTCAAAGCTTTTCTTCCTTATATCCGAACTTTTCAGTGTTGCCATTTAGATGTTTCTTTTTTTTCTTGTGCTACATTCTAATATTTTTCTTTTCTTTGCAGTTAATTCATTATTCTTTAGAAATATATAGAATAGAAATTCAAAGCTGAACGTCCTTATATCCGAACTTCTCAGTGTTTTTCTTTCTATTTAGATGTTGTATAATATGCTACATTCTAATATTTTTCTTTTCTTTCTTTTGCAGTTAATTCACATAATCTTTTAGAAATATATAGAGTAGAAATGCCAAAGCTGAACGTCCTTATATCCGAACTAATATTTTTTTTTAGATTTCTTTTCTTTGCTTTCTTTTTTTTTTCTTTTCTTTCAGTTTTCTTTCTTTAGAAATATATAGAATAGAAATCTGTAAGCTTTTCTCCTTATATCCGAACTTTTTTTGCAGTGTTGGTTTTAGATGTTTACGAATTGCTACATTCTAATATTTTTTTCTTTCTTTTCTTTGCAATTAATTCATTTCTTTCTTTCTTCTTTAGAAATATATAGAGTAGAAATCCTCAAAGCTGAACGTCCTTATATCCGAACTTTTCAGTGTTGCCATTTTAGATGTTGTAAGAATGTGCTTCATTCTAATTTTTTTTTCTTTTTTTTTTTAATTCATATATTCTTTAGAAATATATACAATAGAAATGCTCAAAGCCGAACGTCCTTATATCCGAACTTTTCAGTGTTGGTATTTAGATGTTGTACGAATATGCTTTCATTCTAATTTTTTTTCTTTCTTTCTTTTTTTTCTTTCTTTCTTTCTTTCATATTCTTTAGAAATATATAGAGTAGAAATCCTTTCTTTTTTCGTCCTTTCTATCCGAACTTTTCAGTGTTGCCATTTAGATGTTGTAAGAATATGCTACATTCTAATATTTTTCTTTCTTTTCTTTCAGTTAATTCATTCTTTCTTTAGAAATATATAGAATAGAAATGCTTCGTCCTTATATCCGAACTTTTTCTGTTGGTATTTAGATTCTTGTATATAATATACTACTTTTCTAATATTTTTTTCTTTTTTTCTTTCTTTTCTTTCTTAATTCATATAATCTTTAGAAATATATAGAGTAGAAATCCTCAAAGCTGAACGTCCTTATATCCGAACTTCTCAGTGTTGCCATTTAGATGTTTAAGAATGTGCTACATTCTAATATTTTTTCTTTTTCTTTCAGTTAATTCACATATTCTTTAGAAATATATACAATAGAAATGCTCAAAGCCGAACGTCCTTATATCCGAACTTTTCTGTTGGTATTTAGATCCGAATATGCTTTCTAATTTTTTTTCTTTCTTTTAGATTAATTCTTAATCTTTAGAAATATATAGAGTAGAAATCCTCAAAGCTGAATCCTTATTTTCTCTTTCTTTTTTTTGTTTCTTTCTAATTTTTTTCTTTTCTTTTAATTCTATTCTTTAGAAATATATATATAAAATCTTCAAAGCTGAACGTCCTTATATCCGAACTTTCAGTGTTGGTTTTAGATGTTGTATGAATTCTTTCATTCTAATATTTTTCTTTCTTTTCTTTAAATTAATTCATTTTCTTTAGAAATATATTTTTTAAAAGCTGAACGTCCTTATATCCGAACTTCTCTGTTGCCATTTTTCTTTGTCTTGTGCTTTAATATTTTTTTCTTTTTTCTTTTAATTCACATATTCTTTAGAAATATATACAATAGAAATCCTCAAAGCCGAACGTCCTTATATCCGAACTTTTCAGTGTTGGTATTTAGATGTTGCTACATTCTTTATTTTTCTTTCTTTTCTTTGCTACATTCTAATATTTTTCTTTCTTTTCTTTCAATTCATATAATTTTAGAAATATATAGAGTAGAAATCCTCAAAGCTGAACGTCCTTATATCCGAACTTCTCAGTGTTGCCATTTAGATGTTGTAAGAATGTGCTTCATTCTAATATTTTTTCTTTTCTTTCTTAGTTAATTCACATAATCTTTAGAAATATATAGAGTAGAAATTTTTCAAAGCTTTCGTCCTTATATCCGAACTTTTCAGTGTTTCTTTCTTAGATGTTGTACTTCGTGCTACATTCTAATATTTTTTCTTTTTCTTTTCAGTTAATTCAAAGCCGAACGTTCTTATTCTTTAGAAATATATAATATTTTTCTTTTTTTTTCTTTAGTTCTTAAATCTTTCCTCAAAGCTGAACGTCCTTATATCCGAACTTTCTGTTGCCATTTAGATGTTGTAAGAATTGCTTTCTAATATTTTTTCTTTTTTTCTTTCTTAATTCATATAATCTTTAGAAATATATAAATAGAAATCCTCAAAGCTTCTTTCTTCCTTATATCCGAACTTTCAGTGTTGCCATTTAGATGTTGTAAGAATTCGCTACATTCTAATATTTTTTTTTTTTGGCAGTTAATTCATATAATCTTTAGAAATATATACAATAGAAATATCAAAGCCGAACGTCCTTATATCCGAACTTTTCAGTGTTGGTATTTAGATGTTGTACGAATAAATTCTATGCTTCGCCATTCTAATATTTTTCTTTCTTTTCTTTTTTTCAATTAATTCATATAATCTTTCTTTTTCTTTGCAAATATATAGAAATATATAGAGTAGAAATCCTCAAAGCTGAACGTCCTTATATCCGAACTTCTCAGTGTTGCCATTTAGATGTTGTAAGAATGTGCTACATTCTAATATTTTTTCTTTTCTTTGCAGTTAATTCACATATTCTTTTAGAAATATATAGAATAGAAATGCTTTCTTTCCTTATATCCGAACTTTTCAGTGTTGGTATTTTAGATGTTGTACGAATATGCTACATTCTAATATTTTTTTCTTTCTTTTCTTTCAATTAATTCATATTCTTTTAGAAATATATAGAGTAGAAATCCTTCTCTGAACGTCCTTATATCCGAACTTTTTTCTTGGCAGTTAATTCACATATTCTTTAGACTTCACAGTGTTGCCATTTAGATGTTGTAAGAATATGCTACATTCTAATATTTTTCTTTTTTTTTTATTTAATTCATTTAATTCTTTCTTTTTTTCTTATATACAAAATGCTCAAATGCTCAAAGAACGTCCTTATATCCGAACTTTTCAGTGTTGGTATTTAGATGTTGTACGAATATGCTACATTCTAATATTTTTCTTTCTTTTTTCTTTGCAATTAATTCATATAATCTTTAGAAATATATACAATAGAAATCCTCAAAGCTGAACGTCCTTATATCCGAACTTTTCAGTGTTGGTATTTAGATGTTGTAATATGAATTCTAATATTTTTTCTTTCTTTTCTTTGCTTAATTCATTCTTTCTATTTTTCTTTCTTTTCATTCTAATTTTTTTCTTTTTTGGCATTCTTTCTTTAGAAATA